GGAACCCATACATCAGGAGCGGCATCATTTTGTATTACCGGTCTCCCGCATCACCTTAGGTCGGTTATATTTTAGTCAGAGCCTTTCCAGATTTCTGATTTCCGTAGGTATCGGCCCAGTAACCTTCTTCTGACAAGCATCACTCCAGGGCCGCACGAGGAAACTGCCGATGAGCTCCAGCGCTCCCTACACGCTACCGTTACTGACCTCCTCATGCTCTACGACGATGGAATTCTTGTCAAAACCCCCAAGTATCCAAACGGTATTTAATTCCTCAATAAATACGCTACTGTGATCTTATTGGTTGTCAGGGAGACGGGTCCGTGTCATTCTCGTCGCCGTCTGCTGCGATCATCCTGCCATGTGCAAGGTCGGCGGCTTTTCTGACCATAAATCCAAAGAGTTCCCATGTCACCGGTGCAAGATAACGCACAAAGACATACAGACGGCAGCGGGTTTAAAGGTTGATGGTATATTCTTTAGTTAATTTCGTTACGTGCATACAAGCTCACACTTTCGCATAGCTTTCCCTTGTCGTGACGGAGAAGTACACCGAGCGGAATCGGCAAAATATGCTGAGATTGATGAGGACGACAAGAAAGCTCGAGACGCCTATGCTAGTTCCCATGGGACTCGGTATTTCGAATTCTCCCGCCTCCCGTACTTCGATCCCGTCCGGCAAATTATAATCGACCCCATGCATTGTGTTTTTTTAGGTATATTCCTTTCTCTCTGCGACATCAGAACTGCTTAAGTAGAGCTCGTTTTAAGGCATTGTTAAGACACAGTGGCTTGACGCGTGGATCAAGGACCCACCAGTTCTACGCAAACGCACCGAAAAGACACCGCGAGAACTTGACCAGATTCACGAGTACCTAAACATTGTGAGTTGCTATATCATGCTGGGTCTTCGTGGCCTGATTTATCCGAAAGTTTGAAATGCCGTCGTGGGTAGCTCGGCTTCCGAATCAAGTCGGCTACCCCGCCGGCGGAAACCTGACAGCGGATGAGTGGAAAGGGATGCTACTAGTATTTTGTCCAATTATAGTAAGCCGTATCATTTACCTAGAGCAAGCTAACATCAGTTAATATCTAGATACCTCTTGTATGGGCCGAGTGGTACCCAGTTGCTGCTGCGGACCACGAAAAATCGAAAAAATCTTGGATGAAAAAGAACAAGCACGTATCGATCGCGTAGCCGCAGGAACAGAGACTAAGGCCGACCACAACGGCCCCGCTCCACTACCGAAACCCATCCGGATGCACGGAAATGATCCTGACCTTTTCCTCAAGCTCGCCTCCTGCTTCAAAATCCTTCTTGCCCGCTCGATAGATCTCCAATCTTTAACCCGTGCTCAGCAACTATTAGAGGAATATTTAGCTGGCTTTCTCAAGGTCTGTGCATTCACGACGCTTTCGCTTTCAGACTGATTAATCCCCATCCAGAATTATCCCGAGCTCGTCAAACCAAATTTCCATTATATCACGCACATCTTCCGAATCATCCGTGACTTTGGTCCCATCTACGGCTTCTGGACTTTCCTCTTCGAGCGACTAAACAAACTTCTTAAAAGCTACCAAACCAACAACCATGCCGGCGGAGAACTTGAGGTAACCTTCTTTCGTGAATTTCATAGAGACAGCAATCTGCGCGACATCGTAAGTCCTATATTGCTTACCGAGAATTTGCAATGACTAGAATATATAGATTCAGAAACTCGCCAAGAAGGACGGTGTTGATGGCCTTACATCCGAGGAGCAATGCGTCGTCGAGTCGGCACACCAGATCTTGGCGACCGACGGTGATATACGTGGCACGGTCGCTGCGATGGCGTGCGAAATTGATGAGCTTTCCGCAGACCGTAAGCTTGAGTATTCTCAACGGCCAGAACTGACACCTTTTCCAGTTGCTACGCGTTTCTCGATGGGTTTCGCGGGTTCAAAAGATCTGCCAGATTCAATGCAGCGCGACCTGTTACACTACTACAACACGACTTACCCAGCGATTACAATTGTCGACCGTGCCGCGGATACTGGAGGCGACGAAACTGGGCATTTCTTGCATCGTTCCGCCCAATTTCACTCCTACTTCATCCTAGATGGTCGACGGATAACATCATCAAATTCGCTCACTAAAGCCTCCAGCTCTTTGGTACAAGTAGATGCTGCCGGGACGCGTTACGTCGGACAAATCTTCAATATAATTACTCACAGGCAGCCGGGATTAGCGCAGCCGCACCACCTCCTCGATATTCGCTGGATGCGGCGCCTCGATGATTTTGATATGTCCACCTGGGATGCATAGTAAGTCCGCTGAATCCGGGCCATCCACGTTTCAGTACTTACATTTACACAGCCCCGAACTTGAGATCTTTGTGTGGGAACATGCAAAGTTTCTTCGACGTACCGATCCTGGACCAGGGCATATAATTCCGATTACCTCTGTCCTCTCTCAAGCTTGTCGCGTTACGGCCGCCCATAAAACACAAGTTCCCGACGTCAACGATTTCGATGAGGAGATGGAAGAGGCGGAGTCGTCGGATGGGCCGACTCGCAAGGTATGGTTTACCGCTGGCTTAACACGGGTGCGTACTTCCGTACCCTTCTCGTAATATTGACTCAGCATCTGTTGTATATGGCAGGATGTCGTCGTTGTGTGACAGCGGCTGCGATGGATCACCTGGCCGACGCAAACATTGGAATCGCCGCAGGCATGGATGCCGAATTTGGGTGGGATGGATTACGGATAGGTCGCTTCCAGCGGGCGACATGGGAGCTAATCGCCGCTGTCAGGCCTCGTAGTATCGGCCGCAGGCGGCGCCTTTCCAATCTTGCAATCTTTGGCCGCCCCTTTCGTTTTTAGTTTCTACTCTACTTTGCCTTGGGTCTCGGTCGTTGCTCGTGGACGGTCTCGAAAGCCCAAGGTGCTTGCTTTCTTCGTTCCTATATGAAACTTTTATTCTCTTGCTTTTAGTAGACAACGACTGCGGTAAAAAAACAGCGCAATTCCAATTGATAGGGTTACAGTGATGAAGTAAAAGGAAAGCATTGAAATACTGAGCTAATCATGAAGCAGAACAACGTAGCGAGAGAGAAAATTCAGCCAGAAGACGGGGATGCACCTTTAACTCCTTCTCCTTCATCGTCGGCATCGCCCTCCTCATCCGACTCTTGCCCAAATCCCTCTGGGTTCTTGCCGTAAACTCCGAACTCCTCTTCGCGCTCTTTGTTACCCTCTACATGCTTATCGTACCAATCCTGGCTGACCATGAACGGCCAGAGTGTCCCAAGCGGCGTTCGAGGATTTGTATTGCCGAGATTCACCCGCAGCACAGACGCGCGTGCTCGCTTCTTTTTCTCCTGTCTCTGAATCTTGCGTATTGCATCTAGCTCATCCTTGATCCCAATCAGCTGCGCAAATCAATGTGAGTGCTGGATTATTTCGGAAATGTAAAGAGATAAATACTTCATTAGATTGAAATTCCGGCCGGACGAGTTCCCAGACTGCATGATCCTGTTGCGCTGGACCCAGGTGGGCTTTTTCAACGAGGAGTTTACGGTGCTTGTCCTTCTTGTCTTCGTCTTCGGTGTCGAGGCCAGAAAGCTCATCGCTCATCCAATCTGTTACTAGGATCAATGCCGGATTGTGTTTGTGCTTCTTCTGGTACTCAGGAATCGCCTTCAGCCGATTTAACTTTAGCTGACAAGTTCGGCAGTGAGCGCTTTACTTTCACAGGGACTGGCTTGCTTACGTCTTTCTTCCGCATGTTTTGGCGGTTCTTCGATTCTTGGCGTGCTTGTCTTGCCCCGAGCTCCTCGTTGTTCTCGGCCTTCCACGTCTTCTTCCAGCTTCGAAAGTTAGTCTTGGCAAAAGCAGTCAGATCTTCAGGCGTGAATTTGACATTCTTGTGTGCTAAAGCAAAGGTCTCCGACTTCGGATCCTGTTCCGAGTCATCAGGCGTTAACTGAGTGGAGGCGAAGCGAGGTGTGGCACCTTTTGTTCCGTCCACACGAGATTCACAGCACGCTCAATAACCTTTACATTAGCCGGATTGTCGACATTAGCACTGAAATCAAAGTTCATCCGGGGACGAGATACAGCAGGTTCGGCAGGTTCGGCATCAGAATCATCGGCATCGGAAGCAGGGTCAGTCGTCGCTCCAGTGAGGCATATCAGCTCATTTTTGATATTTTTCTGAGCAGATGATTAAATTTAAGATAGATACTTCTTGGCCGATCCGCCAGGCTCCGAGGCTCACCATTAGTTGCCTCCTTACTTGGACTTGCTTCGCTGACAGACCGTCCGTGTCCTTGAGGAGATATGGTGATGCTTTCTTGGTCTTGCGTCGCTTCTTAGTCGGGGCATCACTGTTATTTGAATGGGTGCGTTTTTGAGCTCTCAGTAGCTGCATTTCGTGTTCTAATGCTTCCAGACGTTCCGTAGTGTCATTTCCAGCATGATTCTCCAGCCTGGGATCGATAACGGGAGGAGGAAGAAGCTGCGGCAGGCCAGGGGTCGGTGGAAGCATTTGCGCCATTTGCATCGCTTGGAACTGTTGAAAGGCGACAGAGAGTTGATGGTGGGTAAGCGGGGGAGCGACCGGGTCATTTGGTCCCGAGTTAGATGGAAACGCGCCGTAGAATGCCATGGTGTGTAGTAGGAGCGATGAAAGACGCGACGCGTGTATTATGCGTGATTTGGCTATGTATCTACCTGAGGCACGATCAGGCCCGATTATAACAGCTGCATATACCTCGGCGGGCCCTCGGCCTAGGCTATCTAACAGACGTCTCCCGAGGTCAGGAAACGTGCAATCCACAGAGCTTTCCTGACCCCCTCCAGGTGCTCTACACTGACTGTCTGGTTAGCTGCGGTAGGGAACCTAGACAGACCTCGACAGGATCGGGCTAGCCTTACTCAAAACGCAGTGACTCTTGATGATGTGTATTATGGTTCGAAGCTTCGACTACATTATCACCTGGGGCAAGCATAGGTGAGTGCCCTTGTAGCTCAGCGGTAGAGCGCAGCACTCGTACAAATGTACACAATTATGCTGAGGTCAGTCGTTCAATCCGGCTCGGGGGCATATTTTTGGCATTGTCCGGATAAATATTTTTGTAGCTCAGCAGTACAGCGCAGCACTCATACAATTGTACTGAGGTCAGTCGTTCAATCCGGCTCGGGGGCATATTTTGGTATTTTCTGGATAAAATATTTTTGATGCAACTAATGGTCCACCAACAGGGTGAGGTATCCCTCTATTCGAGGAACGGCCTCAATCGACTAATCGGACAACGAAAAGGGTGAGAGAATTCATAGGTCAATGCTAGCGACCTTTATACAGGGTGGCTATTCTATTTAGAAAATCATAAAAAGCCAGAAAATGGCCAAATTATGGTAATAAGTCTGCACTGACGATGTTTGCAGGAACAGAATCGTATTGCAGGAAATACAAAGGACGTATGCAGTGTGCCAACGGGAGCGCGTCTCTGCTCGACGAGCGCCGTGGATTCCCGGAGTACCATGGCCGAGGCGGGGAGAGAGCTGGAGAGAGTCTCGGGGAAGCCGCTGCAGAGCCATAAAGAACCGTGACAGGAGAATGCCTGCATGTCAAACTTTATACGGTTAGAAAGACGTCGTTCTCAACTTGAGCGAGCTGAAAAGGAACGAGGACATCCAACAGTGACCTGATTTCTTAATAGTGATGCTTCCACTCTACAAGGTTTAAGATTGGAACTTGAGTGTTTGTAGAGACATTCGAGCGACAACACTCTGGGCTGCTAGTTCTTGGGCATATATGTACAGATCCACACTTCTCTTACCGGCCGTCTAGCTCAGTTGGTTAGAGCGTCGTGCTAATAACGCGAAGGTCTTGGGTTCGACCCCCACGATGGCCAATGATTTTCTCAAATTTTTTTTTAATTTTTTTTCATCGTTAAACGTTTACGGGTCTCATCTTGACAATTGCGTCTTTTATTACCATTGCAATGAACGCTGGAAATCGTCGTGGCCTCACATGCTTTCCAACGTCAATCCCATTTCTGACTTGCGTCTCTGCACTCAGTGCGGGCGTGATGCACCCAAAACTCAACTACTTTTGTCGCATGAGGAAGGAAAGGAATTCGAAGATGGCTATTGAATATTATATTGAAGAAGGGCGTGGGATGGGTCCCAGTGAAAATTTCTGAAGTGATTCTTGAGTGATTCTCTCTTGGTCATCGCAAAGGGACAAGGAGACTGTTGCCAAGAGGTCGTCGACGCGTAAAGATGACTCTAAAGCCATCGCCAACTCATGCAGTATGGACATCGTGTTCCAGGCTATTCTGGGAACTCACCCGAAGTGGTTGCCCCGACAATGCCCCCAAAGAAAAGGGAAGCGGCAGTACGCGATGTAGACGACGCTGAAAGCTGCAAGGCCGTCACCAACTGGCTTAAGTCTGGGATGCTAGAAAAGAAGCGGAAGATTGAAGAGGTCAATTTCACGAACCTGGAACGATGTACGACCCAGAGACGGCTAGAAAACGAATGAGGGGTGATATGCCGATGCCCACGTTAGAACCGATTCCTCAGGTATGTTACGATCCATCGTACTGCGACAGATGTATGACTTTAGACTGCAGGCATTAGCGCAGTAAGTCTTGGTCGCGGAGTTTTATCACGTACAGGGAACCTCATCTGCGGGCCACAATAGCACTCGGAAACCCTCTGGGTCATCCTCTAAAGCCACTGTCAAATTATCCGCCAAATCCTGCGCGGAGTCACGGCCACAAAAAAGGTAGTCCAATATCTTGGGTTGGGTTAAAGCGACCCTGAAATCTGTTAAATAAAGCGTCAGAGGTCCCAAAGATCGATGATCTGCTGGTTGTCTGCTGGGCATAATAATCATGATCGTGTCGAATTCTCACGATTTGGCGTCAACCAAATGAGCGCGATGCATTGACACAGTGGGGGCACATGTACACGTGTGTATTACAACAAGCGAAGTACATCCAATAAATAAGAAATAATGCGTGTTAGTGCTACAATGATGGTCCGAGTTCTGTCAAGAACAGATAAACGATTCAACGAGAAAGAAGGACATGGTTCAGAACAAAGCCGTGCCAACTTTTCCGAGAAACGTTACTGGAGGGTCAGGTGGCATTTCGGTCTCTTCAATAGTTGGAATACCCTGTATCCAGCATCGGATGCATGCAACGAGCGCGACTAGTATGGGAACGTACGGTGACAAAGTCCATCTCCAGTGGCTTCCAAACCTTTGTGCGGTATACGATTTTATACCCGAAATACAGTGCCGCGAAGATTGGTATATTTATGTCTAATACGCTATCAGTGGCTGCGCATTTGACCAAAACGAGAACCTACAGGCAGTCAAGAACATCGAAGTCTCAAATTTGTAGAACACGGCATAGCCGTTTATGAGGACAAAGAATACAGTCCAGCCGATACCCCTGAAAATTCATCAGTTGAGCAGATGAGAACGGAGCCGGAAATTGTGTATACCAGTATGCGACGTATGGCCTAGAAGAATCAGCACATGGGTAAAACGAGCGGACGCGGAGCTTACTGCCAAGGGTTGTTGTAAACATTTTTAGTCAAGTCGAAGCCTTGTGCTTTCATACCTCGATCTATGCCAGAGTCAGTGGGCGTGAAGAGTTGAGAAAGACTACTTACGGAAGAACACATAGGTCAGATTTATCGAAAACCATCCAATGAACCCGCCGGTGGTGGTGATGTTCACAAACCAGCTGTAAATGTATGATTAGTCTCGTAACAGGGAGCATCGAAATGCGATACGAACGTGAATACAGTTTCGGCCCCGGCGGAAACAGTCATAAAAGACATCAACGCAAAAGCCGACTGGAGAAGAACGCATGATCAACATCTGAAAGCCCGTCGCGATGGTGGATCTTGTAACGAACCGATGCTAGAACGGATGCGATCGGCAACCCGTCTTTTGTAGTGTGCGCGAGAAATCTGGGAGCTTGTCCGCGAATTGCGAGACCGTATAGGACGCGGGAGCTACAAAAGAGGAAACTGCTCCCAGCAGAGAAAGCGCTGGTGAAGATCCCAGCGTTGACAATGTGCGGAAAAGCTGTGGATCGAATGTTAACAACGACATGAGACGATGGATAAGATCGTACCTTTGACGCCAGCGCTGTTCATTGCGATAACAAAGGGGGACTGAGCAGCTGTTCCAACTCCTTTGAATCACCAGATCAGTATCTAAATGAGAAGTCATTGCCGAAGGAAAGCCTACGGGAGAGAAGGGCTTCGTTATCATACGCAACTAGCAACCCGATCATAAAAATTCCAAGCATCTAAGACTTCGTTGAGCCTTAGGATCCGAGGAATGACAAAAAGCTGACGTAGAACACAAGAATCCTGTAAAACACTCTGCGAACCGCTTTGGCGATGTTACGTCGAGGGCTTAATCAATACAGTCAATCTTTCTGAATGAAACCCAGCGAGGAGAAACCCACTTCTCAGTCTCCGAGGCAGCTATGCAGACCAGTTCCATTCCTTGGAATGAAAATGCAGCTTGGATGATGACGTTGAGGATCGCCAGAAAGCGATCCGTGTTGACGTTCTCCACCAAACCTGCCCGATTGACTGCACCAGGGTTTTTCCAGTACTGTGATGTTCATGAGGCGAGAACACCAAGGACATGTCTCCCAGACATACCCTGAAACCAATGCGTTCATGATCCGGGCCTCCTCCAAGATCCACAATGAGCCCGGCGAGGAGCAGGATGATAATGAGTGTGACTGGAAGTAGGAGGTTCAGGGTGATTTGCAAAGTCAAGGCTGACAGACGTGCGTTTGATGACGGAAAAGAAGAACTCGGCTGGCGGTGACTAGTCAACTACGGGGATGATATATTATGCAGAACTATGAAGCTTACATTCTCCGAAATATCTTCAAGATTCATTAGATTGGCATTAAATCAAGGAAAACAAAGCGCTCACCGCACGCCAAAAACATTAATCAAACAAACCAGTACGGCGATAATCTATTCAAGATTTAGGCCTGCTATATCGTGCTGATAAGCGACGTACCCCGGTATAAAGGGCGGCATGACTTGTCTAGAATCATTCGATAAGGAAAATGTTCGCACATAGATCATGGGATGAAAACTTACGTTTGTATCCCAGAAGGTTAGTAAAATCACAGACGCAGCTATCTCGACTGGTACAGATGTCCTGTAGATGTATGTCCTTTCAGAGTTATCCTTAGGGATCCAGAGTACCAAACTCACGCGTTTCCGTAGAAATAATTCTATAACCAGGGGTCACAAACGGGCTGAGAGGCGAGTGGAAAGAGAACATACCCAACCAATGGCGAACCCGAATGCAGGATCCACCCATCGTGCCGCTGCGTTGTGTTTAACATCCAAGCCGTACTAGTAGAATAAATGAGAGAAAGCTGACCATAATGCGGGAAGGTACCAGAAATTGGCTAGTGTATAAAATAGGATGAAAAACGGTATCCCGGTGGCGGGTAGAAGAACATACGGCCCAGGTAGTCATCTCCCCTATACAACATAATGATCTAAGTGTGTCATGAGCATTCATAGACCGGGATCGAATAAATACGCACGAGTAGGCTACTGTGCCGACTATTCCGTACGCTATCAGCGCCCCCAGAGGACCTGCCACTTGAAGCGCATTTCCGGAACCAAGGAACAGACCCGTTCCGATGGTTCCAGCGATCTGGCGGAATCAGAAACCGGAATTCCGGGCCAGGAAGCCACTTACAGCAATCCTGGTCAAGGTCAGTATATAGACGGTTTCTAATTAGAGCGTGCTATAACCCACATTTGCACATGTCGTTGCTTTAGCCGCCGTTGCACGCGGTCCAGGTCATGAAAATCGAATCCGTATCGTTCATCTGCTCTGACGGTCTCGACGATTTCTTGTGAGGACTTCCTGGCCTGCCGTTTTTTGTCCATGGTGAAAGTGTAAAGGTAACAAGAAGAATATGCACGTAACCTTCACTGCATCATCTCATCCATTGCTTCCATTCTGTCATCTAAACATCTTGACAATCTCGAGTCGTCGGTTCCTATCATTGGCGGTCACGTGAAAAC